ATCAGTGAGAGAGAGGAATCCCACTCCCTGCGCCTCCCTAATCCCGTGGAATAATGCATCCCATGAAGTGCAGGCTGGATCCAGTCCAGCACTCACGGAAGGCAATGACAGACCTCCCACTGATTTCAATGGGAGCAGAGCGAGCTGGGGTTTAATCAGTGTGGTACCAGCAGCAGTAGCTCGTCAGCCCTGGCATTTCTGAATACATTAGAACATGTTGCCTATGCCCATAGGTCACATTTCTTCTCAAATCACACCAATTTCACAATACGTGCACTAATACCACGAGATAATCATCGTGACTGCTTCCATTTGGGCTGAAGCTTTACCTGATCAATAGCTGCAGTCAAAGCCCACCAGCAGGTCCCCAGGCCCTGCCACAGCAGGAGCAGGCACTGGGAAAGGTCCCCAGCATGGCCATAACCTTATTAATGATTCGCTGTCCAGAATAGAAATAAGAGTTAAATCTTCCCTAAGCTGCTCAGCTGCGCTCTGGTGGTGTACACATCCTCAGGCAGCAGCACGAGCTCCGTGCACACCCCGTGACGCGGATAAGCAATATTTCAGCCCTGATCGTTTGCATATTCATCAGTCCTTTCAAAGCAGGACACAGCTCGGCCTTTTCTCTCAGAGAGCCGCACGGAGGAGGGAGTGCTGTGTACTTCCAGCAGCACCAGGGGCTGAAGGGAGGACAAAGCTGTGCTCCAGAGAGAAACTAATTATTCCTCTGGCAGCCACAGACCGTGGCCATCATCCCTGGGCTGAGCTGTGCTCAGAAAACAACAGTGTGGGAGCCCATCCTGGGTACTGGAATAAGGAGCAGGGGTCAGAGAGGAGCTGAAGTGGAGCACTGGGGGCAAGCCCGAGGCTGTAGTGGCAAGGCAGCCCTTTCCCATCAGCATTGTCACCCTGCAAAGGGTCACTCATGGGCATGGGCAGGGCTGAGATGGCCGAGGGTCCATCCCACAGCAAACACCCACCTGCCTCAGCCTGGTCTGCCTCTGCGTGGGTGCAAAGAGTTGGATGCTGGGGCAACCAGCCCAGGACAGAGCCCAGCCAGCTCCCAGCAGCCCAAGGACAGCAGCAAGCACAAGAGGAACTGGGGGAGCTGCCTTTTATTTCCAGGCATTTCTGTTTCCATCAGCTGTGTGGCATTACCCAGCCCGCTCTGTTTGCACTTTTAACAAGGCACATGTGGTGAAAAACCCTTTCCATGCAGAGCTTTCCTGTTTGGCCATTTCCAAAGGCCCTGGATGTGATGGCAATAACTGCCTCCATGGGGTGACAGCTGGGAGAAAGACACATATCTAAGAAATAAATTATTCCAAAAGAGGTAGAAATATTCTCCTCCATTCCTTACACCCCCAGGGGTGAAGGCAGCAGGGCGCAGGCTCCCATGAGCCGTGCCCAGCCCTCCCAGGGCAGAGGTGCCTTGCCCAGGGCCAGCGATGTTGATTGCAATTAGCAGCTCTCCCTGGCACTGGGAGGCACTGGGAGAGCTCTCAGGTGCCATGAGCTGCCCGCAGAAGGGCAGTGGGAAAGCTCTGGAACACGAGGGAACAGCGAGAGCCACATCCCCCGGCTGCGGCAGCACGCCAGGGTTACAAAACACGGCCACCCCGTGTCACATAGCCGGGGTCAGTGTCACCAGCCCCGCCGGCTACGGTTACACGGGCTGAGCCCAGCAGAGTCATCCTGCCCGAGCCCTGGGGAGCTCATCCTGCCTCTGCCCCCGCTGCCCGGGCATTCCCAACCCTCTCCTCCCATCCCGAGCATCACACGGAATGTCTAAGGGGGGGTGGAAAAGGCTTGCTCAAGACCTGCTGCTTTTTCCACGCTGAGGCAGAAACAGCAATTATCTGGTTCAGTCTGGTGCTGCTGGCCTGGAACATGCCATGACAACGTGTTTCTCGTTTCAAAGCCTCTTTTGTACTAGGACACAGTTCAAGGGATCTTGCAATGCCTGCATTTGTAAACACGCCGCACTTGCAGCTACACGCTCCGCAGATGAAAGCCAAGGCAGAGCACCAGGGCACTTCTCCCTCCTGTGTCACAGCTGGGCACGGGGCACGGGGCACGGGGCAGCTCCCCCGGCCCAGCCCGACCTGCTGAACCCAGCCCCGGGGCTGGCTAACCCTCAAAAGTCACAGCACGCTCAGAAAAACGGAGTCCTGGAAAAGGGGGGCGGGGGGTGAGGGGGGTGAAAATCACAGCAAAAAAAAATGTGCGTCACTGCAGATTATTTTAGGCCCTGGTCCATGCATAATGCAAATAAGCAGCTCCCGGGGTACATGCCTGTAAAAACCATCCAGTCCCACAGCGCCCGGCTACGGGAGCTTTCCAAACAGGTGGTGAAAAGCTAAAATTATGTGTCTGTGTGTCCTCAGCGGGGTTAGGAAAGGCCCTGGCTCTCAGGAAGGCTCTCCCCGTGCCTCCACGGGGCTGGTATGAAACAGGACCGAGACATTAAAAAATTCAGGAGCGTTTCTTTCCTTTTGAGGCAATCCTGCGCTCCCACTCAGCAAACCTCACTCAGCACCTCCACGACACCCTTTGATCTGCCTGACCCCGCCGCCCCCTCCCACCCGCTCTTCACGCACACTAACTTCATTTATTTTTAATTTTTTGCCCAAAATCATTGTATCCTCCTTGTCTGACTTCAAGGAGTCGCTCGGGAAGCCCTATTTATGGGTTGAAATGCTGCTGAAAGAGTTATTGCTGTGTTATTCAGCTGTTGTGCCAAGCCTGCATGGGGATCGGGTTTCTGCTGAAAGGGTGCCAGGCACGTCTTTTTCCAGGAACCAGCAGCCGTATTTAGCCTCCGGCTGCACATGAAAGACTGCAGTCGGAAACGTGACATTGTGTCAACATTTGAGGCAGGTCAGAGCTGGGTGAGACCATGAAAACAAGCCCGGGAACTCAGCACACCCCGGCGGGGCGGGCGGCACGGGCTGTCCCGGGCTGGCGCCGTGCCGGGGGTCTCCATCCATCCATCCATCCATCCATCCATCCATCCATCCATCCATCCATCCATCCAGCCAGCCATCCATCCATCCATCCATCCATCCATCCATCCATCATCCATCCATCCATCCATCCATCCATCCATCCATCCATCCATCCAGCCAGCCATCCATCCATCCATCCATCCAGCCAGCCAGACAGACAGACAGCCATCCATCCATCCATCCATCCATCCAGCCAGCCAGCCAGCCATCCATCCATCCATCCACCCATCCATCCATCCATCCATCCATCCATCCATCCAGCCAGCCAGACAGACAGCCAGCCATCCATCCAGCCATCCATCCATCCATCCAGCCATCCATCCATCCATCCAGCCATCCATCCATCCATCCATCCATCCATCCATCCATCCATCCATCATCCATCCCCTCCTCCCGGGCCAGGATGGATGGAGATCCAGGGGTGGCAGCTCTGGCAGGGCTGTTGGGGTCCCCACCCGGTGCCACCACAGGTGCAGCCCCAGCCCCACTCTGCCCCACAGAACTCACCTGTCCCGCTGGCACCAGGCCAGGGTGGCAGAGAACATTTCCAGCCCATAATAGTCCTTTGCTACCTGAGTAAATGTTCTCTCTTCCACTTTTTTTTTCCTTTTTTTTTTTCCTCCAAGACTGAGGATCTGGTAATCCTGCAAGCTGTCCCACCACAGGACAAGGGGGGGGTCAGAACATGAGGACCAAAGGGGAATGAGAGCCACGGAAAGGAGGCAGAAATCAGAAATCCAGGGGGTCCTGAGGCTGGAGACACCCCTGCACTGAGCACCAAATGCTGTCCCCAAATGGGGTTTCACAGTCAGCTTCAGTAAGATCAATATTTAGCCCTAATTAAAGCAAACATAACATGAACGCTGGGATGTGTGGAGGCCCCAAACACATTAAACCAAGCAGCATTTTTTTCTAGCATTACTTAAGGTTTCTGCAGTTCTAACCACAGTCTAACAGGAGCATCGGCCTCTCCGTGTGGGGTCCTGGAGGTGCTCAGGACTGAGCAGTGCTGCCCCAGTCAGACACTTAAACCACTCCCCACAGTTTGTGATTCATCTGCACAGTGAAAATCCCAAATACCCCCTCAGAACTGCCCGTGCCCATCCACACACAGGCAGCACCACTGGGAAACCGAGTCCTCCCACCCATCCCTTTGCTTCACCCCTCTTTTGCCTTTGGGGGACGTTTGGGGTCGTCGCCATTCCATCTGGAGCCCAGGAACCAGCAGCACTGCTGGAGAGGTGGGAGGGAGCCCGTGGTGGGATGAGGACCCTCACCCACCATGGGCTGCCCTCTGGCTCGTTTTGTGGCACTGGGAGTAGAGGCTGCTCCACCACCCCCAGTGCCAGCTGGAATTCCCAACTCAGGGACACCTGGGGGTGGCAGGGATCACTCCAGCAAAGGCAGGACCTGACCCTGGCACCCCTCAGCCCCAGGGGCCAGCTGGGCACCAGCCCTGGCAGTGCTCGGGCAGCTCAGACACAGGCTGAGGTGCTGAAGTAAAACCAACCTACAGCAAATGCATTTTCCTGCAGGAACTGGGCAAAGCCTGTGGAGATGCTCCATCCTCCGGGGTGAGGGGCTGCCTCCTCCCCACAGAGCTTGGGGCCCAGGAGCCAAATGCCAGACACAGGGAGCACAACGTGACATCAGGAGAGAGCAGGAAAGCCAGCCAGGCTCTCCTGGCACCTCCCTGCAGTCTGCAAGGAAAAAAAACCCTGAAGGTGCCAAGGGAGTTAAAATAAATAAATATCCCTGGTGACATGGGTAATGGGACCCTGAGCTCCTCCAGGCAGCGATGGCAGAGGAGCTGTGGGGGGAGCAAGGAGAGCCCTGCTCCCTCCTGCACCCCAAAAATCCCTCATCCCCCTGAACCTTGAAATCCCTCATCCCCCCTGCATCCTCAATTCTTGCTCCCCCCTGTGCCATCCCCTGCACGACCAGGAATGACCCTGCTCAAACATTTCAAAGCACAGGAGGCAAACCCTTATCTTCCACAGGAAAAGAATTATTTTATTAAGCATTTTTAAACAGCTACTTAACATTTACTCAAGATAAAAATATGTACAATATCCCACCTTGAAGGCGGCTCCAAAATATAAACACTGTACCTCTCCCGAGAGAAAAACGGAATATTCTTCTCTTAAAAAAAAAAAAAAAAAGACAACCCAGAAACAAGAATACATTCATATTTCTCACTTCTTTATGCTCAAGTAGTTATACAAATAATAGACATCTGAAACCTTTTAACTTTTAATATATTTATATAATATATATATATTTATAACAGGATTTTACAAATAAAGGCAACAACTGTATACCAAAAAAACCCAAAAAACCAACAACAAAATAAACGTTAGAACACAATCTGCAATCAAGCATAGTGCATCTCAACAGCTGGTGCAATGGGAGGGCGACATGAGGATCCAGACAGGGGTTCTGCTCACCAGTAAGAAAAAACCACCAAAGAGCACTGCCTTCAGCAGTGACGTTTGGGGGTTTTTCATGAAAAAGAAGCTGAACTGAGAGGATGTTCCTCTGTGGAGGAAGCTCCTTGCAGCTCCCAGAGCAGTGGCACCACCCAGGTTTGCCAGGAGGAATCCAGATGCTCAAACCCTGCCGGGCTCCTGTGAAAATCCCAGCCTTGCCACTGTCCAGAGGCACTGCCAGGGGCACCTCCAGCAGGGATGGCACTGCCAGGGGCACCTCCAGCAGGGATGGCACTGCCAGCTCCCTCCGGCAAGAGCCCGACCTGCCCGCCCGGGAGAGCCGCAGGGATTGCCCAGGGAGTGCCAGGGCAGCCGGGGAGAGGCTGGAGCCGGTGCCAGCAGGGAAACCAGCCCAGGGACAGCTCCTCCCGAGCCGGGATCCATCCCGGGCACAGCTCCTCCCGAGCCGGGATCCATCCCGGGCACAGCTCCTCCCGAGCCGGGATCCATCCCGGGCACAGCTCCTCCCGAGCCGGGATCCATCCCGGGCACGGCTCCTCCCGAGCCGGGATCCATCCCGGGCACGGCTCCTCCCGAGCCGGGATCCATCCCGGGCACGGCTCCTCCCGAGCCGGCCCAGTGTAGCAGCTCGAGTAACAGGAAGGGCACAGGTTAATTTATTTATTAGATGAACGCCATGGAAAGCTCCAAGCAGCAGCTACCTTTTATTTCTTAAAAAAATATCTATCTATCAGTAAAGGTGTGGAGAGAAACCTGTGGTAGGTCTGCCTGACCTGTGTGTGACCAGGCAGTGACCGCTGCCCTGCTCCTCCCGGTGACATTGCTGCCCCTGCAGTGACCACTGCCCTGCTCCTCCTGTGCTCACAGTGGCATTGCCACCACTGCCACCACCTCACAGTGGTCACTGCCCTGCTCCTCCTGGTGACATTGCTGCCCCTGCAATGACCACTGCCCTGCTCCTGCTGTGCTCATGGTGGCATTGCCACCACCTCCAGTGACACTGCCCTGCTCCTGCTGTGCTCATGGTGGCATTGCCACCACCTCCAGTGACACTGCCCTGCTCCTGCTGTGCTCATGGTGGCATTGCCACTACCTCCACTGACACTGCCCTGCTCCTGCTGTGCTCATGGTGGCATTGCCACCACTACCAGTGACACTGCCCTGCTCCTGCTGTGCTCACGGTGGCATTGCCAGCACCACCAGTGACACTGCCCTGCTCCTGCTGTGCTCACGGTGGCATTGCCACCACCTCCAGTGACACTGCCCTGCTCCTGCTGTGCTCATGGTGGCATTGCCACCACCTCCAGTGACGCTGCCCTGCTCCTGCTGTGCTCACGGTGGCAGTGCCACCACCACCCTGCCACGCTCGGGGTCACTGGGCACCAGTCCAGCCAGATGAGCCAGCGGGGCCGTTGCCTCCAGAGCCGCTCGGGGAAGTACCGTGGTTTATATTCACGTATTTTGTATTTGCACACCTCGAACCAGGTCTGCCCAATGGAATATTTCTTCACAGCTTTGCAATAGATTCGCAGCTGACCGAGTCAACTGTTGTTCTGTAGATGTGGAGAGGGAAGAAGGGAAGGGGCCAAGCACAAAACCCTTCTTTAATCTTTTGGAAGCAGTTGTCAATCGCTAACCTGGGCGCATCCTTCATCCTTCTCCAAGCTACTGACAAGTCAGAGAAAAGGGATTTAGCTTCCTATGCACAGTGAACCTTGTCTCCACACCTCAGTCCAGCCAATATATAAAAGTGAAACAGTCTCTCAAACTAACAAAAAAAAAAAAAAAAAAAAAAAAAAAGAGAAAAACCAGTCACACTGCGCTCAGTCTTTGGTTTCCAAGTTCAAAGGAGGAATCTGCTTCAAAGCTTGAAGCAGAGCCGAGGAGTCGATGGGGGAATGGGCCGGTACAGGAGAAGGGAGTCTCTGGGGCATCAGCAGAGGGGGGGAGATTTTGTCGGGGTTCATGAAGCCCGTCAGAGCTGCGGCAGAGGCCGGCAGGCTGGGGTACAGCACGGGCACCGAGGCCGGGTACCAGCACTTCTCCAGCATGGGCAGGTAGGCGGTGGCGGACGGCGGGATCAGGTAGAAAGGCAGGCACAGGGGAGGCTGGTGAGCGTGGGGGCCCAGGAAGCTGCTGGGAGAGCCCATCATGTCACTGCCAAAAGGGCCCTCGTCCTGCGGCGACTCCAGCCTGCTCCTTTTGGCCGGCGGGTCCTCAGTCTCTTGCTTAATAGAGCTTATTCTCTCCTGGACAGCGTACTTGAGGTCGGTATCCTTTTTGAAATAGGGCTGTTCCGCTTTGGAGTCGCTTTTCTCCAGCTCTCCCCCGTACCCGCTGTCCGTGTCCGTGTCGCTGCCGCTCTGCTCCCCGCTGGAGTGAGCGAATGTCCGCTGGATCACGGGCACGCAGTTCTTCCCGTGGCCCTCGCCCGCCGCGCCCAGCGGCGCCGGCTTCTCCTTCAGGTCCAGCATTTTGGGAGGGATGTCCCCGGCCTTGCGGGCCGCCCCGCCCTGCAGCACCTCGCTGGCCATCCGGTGCAGGTGGCTGACCAGCTGCGACGACTTCAGCTCCTTGCCGTTCTCGTGCTTGGCCAGGTATTGCAGCATTTCCTTGGCACACATCTGGAAACCGGATCGAAACATTTCCTGGCTGGAATCAAGGTTTCTCGATGACAGGTCACCTAAGGAAACATTAACAGAAAGAAATTAAAAATTAACAACATGCTAAATAGTTCCATTTCCAGCTCCGAGGCGGACCAGAGGCGACGCTGGACTTGGGTTACAGCACGGCCAGAGGGGAAAGCGATGGCCAAGCTGGACCCTATGAAGAGAAATCCCCAGATTTCTGCAGAAATGGACAATTCCATTGGAACATCCACCTGTCCACTTCTACATAATAAGTTCATGTAAAGTGCTGCCTGCTTTTTTTTTGTTATTTACTGTAAAATCCACCTTCAACAGGTACTGGAGTGCGGGGAGGGGAGTGAGTCAAGCTGTGGCTTCTCCAGGAAACCCCCGGGGAAGGCAGGGCACCTCGCCCTGCACCCCGGGGCAGGGAGCTCCGGGCCCTGCCAGCAGCTCCACCAGCCCCAGGGGACTCCACTGCTCCACTGCACTCCCTGTGGCTGCCGGGGCAGGACGGCGCCTCCCAAAAATTCGGGTTTACTGTGTCGGATTCACGTGAGAGCCACATGTGAAAACAGCAGGAGGAAGTGCATCTAAGGCTGATAAGCTGAAGCACCGGGTCCCCTCTGCCTGCAGAGCACAGGCCAGCTCGGTTATAAAGAAACTTAAAAAGGTTAAGGTTATCTGCTTTCTATACACACTTAAATAGGTGCGTATAGAAAGCAGATTTATATCTATTTTCAGAGAAAAACAACCAAATCAACCAGACTGCGTCACAAACACAAACGGGAAGAATCAAATGGCTTTGGAGAGAACCTCACTGCAAACCTGGGCTGCAACTAAAACTACTTAAAACCCAGTTTAATTTCAAACAACTCCCAGGGCACTCTGCACTTGAGCAATGCATCTTTTTTTGTGAAAGCTCATAAACAAAGCCTGAGAAAATGACAGCAGGAAAAGCCAGAATTCCTGTCCCCTCCCTTCTCGGTACCAGGGTGTCACAAGCGCATTTCACAGGCTCCCCAGGGAAAGCCCATCACACACACAGCCCATCACCCTGCCGAACACTCACCCGCCTGCAAACCGCTCTGCAAAGCGATGATCTTCTGCTGCTGCTGCTCGATGAGATTGGTCAGTGCCTTCACATGCTTCAGGGTGAGCTCCAGAACCACAGCCTTCTCCAGGTGCCCCAGAGTCTGCGAGCACAGGGACAGGTTGGCACCCGCCGCCGGCCCGGCCAGGCAGGCAGGAGCTGCCGGTGCCTCCCCGGGAGACCCTGAGCAGGCGGGACTACCCCCGGCAGCATTGCACGGAAATAAGTTACAAAGCAGGCTACGGAAAAGGCTCTCACGGAACCCTGTGGGTGCTTTCGGACCAGCCGCATAGCCCGGAGAGAAGCGTTTTATTTATGGTCCTGCCCACCCTGGGGCAGCCCGGCCGGGGACAGCTCTCGCCCGGTGTTGGGGGCCCTCAGCTCCCGGGGAAGTTCGGGACGCGCTTACAGCCTGCCCGGGCGTGCGGCACCGCGGAGGAAAAAAGAAAAAAAAGAAAAAAAAAGGAAAAAAAAAAAAACCACAACCACCCCAAATCCGCGGTGAAGCGGCAGCAGAGCGCCGGGAGCCGCTGCCCCGTCCCTCCGCTCGCACCTACCGTCAGCTTGAGGTGCTCGGGCAGCAGGTCCTTCAGCTGCGCGATGCACTCGTTGATCCTGTCGCGCCTCTTCTTCTCGATCAGCCGGTGCGGCAGCTTGTAGGTCTCCTGCGGGGCCGGGGCAGCGGGTCAGCGGGGGGACAGCGGGGGGACAGCGCGGGGACAGCGGGGGGACAGCCCGGCCCGGCCCCGCTGCCGCCGCTCCTCCCGTCCCGAGCGCTGTCACCGGCCGACTCACCCCGTTAACCCCCAATTTACCCCGTTAATCCCCAATTTACCTTCTCGCCCCCCATTGTACCCCATCACCCCCCGTTTACCTTGTTGTCCTCGCTCCTCTTCAAGCCCCTCCGGGGTTTGTACACCTGGTACATGTGCGCGAAGTCCAGCCTGCAGGGGCGAAAGGAGAGCAGCGGGTTAGCCCCGTGCCGGAGCCGAGGGGAGCCCCCCGAGCCCCCGGAGCCCCCCGAGCCCCGCTCACCCCGGCAGGTCTCCGCTCTCCAGGGCGGGCAGCTTGCCCAGGCAGCCGGGCGGGGGCTGCGCGCTGGGGATGCGCTCCATGGCGGGGGGCGCGGGCGGTGCGGGGCTCAGGCGCTGCCGGTGCCGGTGCCGGTGCCGGTGCCGGTGGCGGTGCCGGTGCCGGTGCTGCTCATGCCGCGCCCGCGCCGCGCGGGCTGAGGAGCGGCGGGCGGCCGCGGGCCGGGTTAAATGCGGGCGAGTGGGAGGACGGGAGCGACGTGCGGAGCCCTGTGACCGCCGGCACGTCTGGCGGCCCCGCGCCCCCGCCCCGCCGTCACATGAGCCTCACGTGGCGGCGGCGCGGGCAGGGCGGGCCCGGCCCCGCTCCCCCCGCACGTGTGTGCGGCGCGCCGGGGCCCGGCCGTGCCGTGCCGTGCTGTGCCAGGGCTGTGCTGTGCTGTGCCGTGCCGTGCCGTGCTGTGCTGTGCTGTGCCAGCGCTGTGCTGTGCCGTGCCATGCTGTGCCGTGCCAGCGCCGTGCTGTGCTGTGCCGTGATGATCTAGCACCGTGCCGTGCTGTGCCAGTGCCGTACCAGCACCGTGCCGTGCTGTGCTGTGCCGTGCCAGCGCTGTGCCGTGCTGTGCCGTGCCGTGCCGTGCTGTGCTGTGCCAGCGCCATGCTGTGCTGTGCTGTGCCATGCCAGCGCTGTGCCAGGGCCGTGCAGTGCCGTGCCGTGCCATACACTCCATACCATGCCATACACTCCATACCGTGCCATACACTGCCATACAGTGCTGTGCTGCACCGTGCCATACTGTGCCATGCCATGCTATTACCGTGCCATACAGTGCATACAGTGCCATGCCATGCCATGCTATACCATGCCATACCATGCCATACTGTGCCATACACTCCATAATGTGCCATACATTGCCATACCGTGTCGTGCTATACAGTGCCATGCCATGCCATGCTGTGCCATATCCTGCTGTGCTATACCATGCCATACAGTGCCATGCTGTGCCATACCATGCCATACACTCCATACCGTGCCATACACTCCATACCGTGCCATACCCTGCCATACAGTGCTGTGCTATACCATGCCATACGGTGCCATGCACTGCCATACCATACCATGCACTGCCATACGGTGCCATGCACTGCCGTACCATGCCATGCTGTGCCACACCATGCCCTGCCATACTGTGTGCAGTACCACTGTTGTGTCCCGAGATTGGTGAGAAAGAAAAAAAAATAAAGAAAAAAAAAAAAAAAACACCTCCAAAGAGACACAGACACAAAATAAGTGAGTGTCACTAAAATGTGGCTCTGGGGAAGCGGCAGTGCTGCAGGGAAGTTTTGGGGTGGGAGGACCCCATCGCTGGGGGTACCCAGGGCTTGCAGCAGCTTGCTCCAGTGGAAGGTGTCCATCCCTGCCCATGGCAGGGGGTTGGTACGAGGTGGGCTTTTACATCCCTTCCAACCCAAACCATTCTGTGACTCTATGCCCAGCAGGAAATTCTCCCCCGTGAGGGTGGGGATGTGCTGGCACAGGTTCCCAGAGAAGCTGTGGCTGCCCCGTCCCTGGAAGTGTTGCATGGAGCAACCTGGTCTAGTGGAAGGTGTCCCTGTGCATGGCAGGGGGTGGATGATGATAATTTAAGGTGCCCCCCAGCCCAGCCCGTTCCATGCCATCCCATGCCCGTGGCAGCCCGTGGGGTTGCACAACGCCGAGCGATGACAATGGTTGGTGTGTACCTGCCAAGGCAGAGCTCTCCTGAAGGGCCGTGGTCACTTCCCTGCTGAGTGCTGAGCAAGTAGAGGCAGGCTCAGCTGATAAAAGGTGCTTTTACCAAGATAAGGGAGCAGCAGAGCTCCAGCACTGAGCTGCTGCTACTGCCTGCAGAGTCCTGGCTGCTCCACCCCGGCAGGAATCCGAGGGCAGGAGGTGCTGCATGACAGCACAGAGGGTTTAGGTGGTGATGGAGATGGGCTGTTTGAGGCTTACCCCCACCCAAAGGTGCCTGTCGTTACCAGGAAGAATCCCAAGGGATGTCAGAGCCTCAGAAAGATGCTAGCCATACATGGAAGGTCTATAAACCCCCAAAATCTCCCCTACAAGCTCCCAGCAGCACCTCCAGTGTGAACACCACAGTGCTGGATGAGCAACGTGGGGCTTCCACAGAACAGATGTTTGGGTTGTCCCACTCAACACGGTCCTCCCAGCGTCTGACATCTGAACCTGCAAACCCGGTGATTATGGCCAAGATCATGGAATCCCAGAATGGTTTGGGTTGGAAGGGACCTTAAAGACTTCTCAATCCAACCCCCTCCATGGGCAGGACCTTGAGGGTCTCTGGTGCCACAGCCCCGGCACTGTGGAGGAGAGGAGCTGGGACTGAGCACAGAGCTCAGAGTGCCACAGAACCACAGCAGAGCTGGGACCTGCCACAGCAGAGCTGCTCTTTCCTCCAGGCACTGAACAAACCCGGCAAGAACCATCAGGGGACATGAGGGTGATGGTTTTTCTCCTGCTGCAGTTCAGGGGACCAAATCCAGCCTCAGCAACGAGCCCTGGAGCAGAGGGTTTGCTCTCTCTGTGCCCCCAAAACCAAAGCTGTTATTTTCCAAACAGAGAGTGAAAAAAACACAGACAATTTTTCATCTGTCCCATCACTGACCCTTTGTCCAAGGCAACAGAAATAATTAGAGCTTGCTGCAGCCTTTTGCTAATGAAAAATGAGGTTTGGGGCCAACCTGCTCTGCATTTGAAGTTCAAGCTCCAAGAGTACGTGGACGGCTTCATGGCCGTGGATTGTCTGACTCCTGCATGCTCCTTCAGATATTTGGTACATTCCTGCAGTGGGTGGTGAGCCACAAATCAGGGTCAGAGGTAATCCCCAATTATTTAGCCCTTTTACTGTTCTCGTGCTTGCCAAACAATTCTCTATATCAGGATTTGCTCATGACCTTAAGGGACGTTGCCAAGGATTTAGGAGTCCCCCTAAAAAGGAGGATCCAAATGAAGTTATTGCATTCTTGGGCATCAAGTGAGATTGCTCGAGAGTTGAGTTACATTTTCCCGGGGATCAGTTTTCATGAGCAAGGACTGATGCAATCATCAATTCGCCTTCTCGCTTGTGTTTGCTGAATTATTTCTACATGGAGGGCTCCTTTACACCACACGATTCAGGCAGTACCAAAATGTTTAAAAAGGCTGAATTCCCTCAAGCCACCGGTGGAGCAGCAGCTCTGCTGAGCGCTCCTCCAGCAGGGTGGGAGTCACAGCACCGTGTCCAGGGGGATTTGCAGTTATTTACAGAGGCACGAGAAGGTGAGAGTCTGGGGGCTGCTCTGGGGGTGGGCTGGGAATCCGAGACTCGGGATCTGCCCCTTCCCCGGGACTGTCCCCTTCCGACCGCAGGGATTTGGGGGAAAACGTTCCAAAAATCCCTGGCACTGCTGCCTGATGGAAGCCTATGTGGGCAGCGCCGGGAGTTAACAGATGGGTTGTGGATTCGAGCTTACGATAAGGTTACTGAGGGTGGTTTTGTTTTAAAATGTCTCTTACTTAATATATCCATGCAGGCCAGGCATGTGGCCTGTAATCAAACCGCTGACTCTCCTCTCTGCCGTTTCCAGCAATCCCGGCTCGGGTTACTGGCACCGGAGGTAAAGCTCAGCCCTGCCGGGGCTGGAGCGGGATGCGCTCGGCATCCTCGGGCCCGGCGGGACCAGCCCGTGTTTCCTCAGCAGGAAAAGCCCTGCGGGAGCCCGGCGGGCTCTGCCGGAGCTGCAGCGGGGATCGCTCCGGGCTCAGGTTCCGCTCGGGCCCCGCAGCTCCGGGACGGACGGGAGGATCCAGCGGGGCAGTGCCGCATCCCCGGGGATGTGCGGGCTGAGTGGGGCAGAGGGGGGATGTGACCGCCAGCAGCTCCCAGGAGAGCTGCAGATCTCCTTTCCCAGCCTGGTGCACAAGGCTGGGGAGAGCCCGCACCCCTCCGCTTGGCCGCTCCCAAGGGACACTGTCGGAATCTGTGGGTATTGATGATTCTGAGATTGTAGAAAGTCTCTGTCTGTCAGCCCCGCTGCCAAAGCAGAAGCCATAATTGGTCTGTGCTGGTTTCAAGGTTGTTTATTCTGTTTATCTCTAACATGTTCTGCTGCCCTGCCGCAGCTCTGTCCTGCAGGGCAGCGTGTGGGGCTCTGCCCTCAGTGGGATGGTACAAACATTAAATACCACAAACTACCTGTGCTGGATTTACAATAACGTGCCAATATCTGTCACCTACGTTGGACAGTGTGTCCCCAGCCTGAACCAACAGAAAAATGCCAACACCACAGTGAAACATGGAGGGCATGAAGAAGGAGAAAAAGGACAAGGCACACCCAATTTCCTCCATCTTGTCCCCTTTGGACCCCTCATCTAGAATCCTAAAATTTTACTTTTGCACCCGTGTCACACTTAATTATTACTCTTATCAAACACTCAAAGCTTGTAATTCATCCTGTAAGATTGAAAACTCCTCTCCATGGACAGAGATCACAGCCAGTGTCTCTGGGGGCTCTGTCCAGGGGGGTTCCTGACCCCTGCCAGGGTCCCAGGGCAGCCAGAGGGAAGCTCTGGATTCCCACAGGACACTGTGCGACCTCAGCGCAGGGCGTGAGGAGCACTTTGACACCCACCAGGGCTCCGCCTCAGCCTCCTGGGAGCTGCAAAAGGCGGATTTGGTGTCAGGCCGGGTGGTTCCAGCCGGGTGATGCTCTCGATAGCGCAGCTGAACGCGCTCAGTGCCGCGGAACCGTCAGGGACCGTCACGAGTCAGAAGCCGCGATTTAATACTGCAAATACGTGCATCCATCGCTGCTTAACTGCACTGCTGTGGGCTGCCACGGGCTCTGCCCGGATAAAGCACTGGGAAAACACAGCAGGAGCTGTTGTCTCGGCGCCCTCCCTCCGGCACGACCCTGGAGCGCTGCCGGGCATGTGAGAGCTGCGGGAATAGAGGGATGCTGGCACCGCTCAGCGAAACTCGCCCGAGGACTGTTCAAATGAAAGCCATTCCCCTCCTGGAGCAGAGATGTTTGCCAGCACCCAGTGCAGCAGTGGGAGGAACACGTAGGTGGGAATTATTTGGAAGTGGCAAAATTTGTGGACATTAATAAGAGACTTT